TCATTGTTGTTTGGCGGGTCCGGGCTGGGGATTCGAACCCGCCACCTGAGGTGTATGTGGCTGGTGCCTTAGCCGCTTGAGCCACAGGCGCCGAGCCTCTCATTACTTCTTTAATATTTTTCTGGAAGGTATCAAGAAAGCCACCACCACCTACTTTCCTGACCATATAAACAATGCATTTCTCTTATTTGTCAGTGGTATTATTAAGATCATTGTTACATTCCTTCTATAGATTTTACCAAAGTAAAATGATTTGTTCAAGGTTTATTGCATTTATTATCTACTGGTTATATTTTCTTGAGGAAGGAGGTGGTCAGATTTGCCAGAGAATTCTTTCTTTCCTTCCCCAACAACAATGTTATATGTGCATAACATGTGCATGTTACCTTCGTCCCAGACGTTGCTTTTGACAGTGTCCACAATGTATCACATACAAATAAGAAGAGCCTCTGTATAGAATTTCATGGGAAAATTTCTTCAAGCTGTACTGAAAGTAGATATCTTACTCAGGCAAAAACTGAGTGTTCAGAAGTAGCAAAAGTAAAGGAAACAAAAACTAACAAAGTGGTTAAATGTTCAGTTTTATCAGCCAGTGCCTAAATCTGCAAGCATGAAGGAGTACTTAGACATTATCTATTCACTACCTGATGATGATCCTCCAGAGGTCTTGGGAGTACACCCTGAGGCCATAAGGAGCTGCAGGGAGATTGAGAGCCAAAACTTTATTGAAAATCTCATTACCATGCAACCAAGAGCTACAACTGGGGCCAACCTCAAGATCCGGTAAGAACTCACTAGGAAAAATTATTGATCAAAATTTGTTAAATATTCATTTGAAGAGATAGAGTATAGATGTGTAGAAAAATATAATCTACATGTAGAGAAACTAAATTCTCCAATAACACAGAAACAGGTGTACACACACACAAAAAAAATTACCAAGCATATAGTAGTTACTCAATAAATCTTTGTTGAACAAGTGAATTTCTTTAAATGTGAAGTATACATATTTACTTCAATAGGACCAGGAAAGATAACCATCCTAATAAGCAAAAGGGCAGTGAAGAAGAACTAGCCGTGCATTGAGAGGCTATGTGGATTATACCTCTACTAGTTCTGTTTCTAAGGTCACATGGCCTCAGTATCTTTATCCATAAATGGGCGTAACAATTTTCTACCCATTGAGACTGTTGTGAGATTCAAATGGTGTCATACATGTGTAGCATTAGTGGTGCAATGGTGAGCATAGCCTCCTTCCAAAAGGTGGGATATACACCCCAATTCCCACGTCTCCTCGACCTGTGACTACAAAATAAATTGCATTTATTAATGACACAGCAACGTGGCTTGAATCCTCAATGGTTTGATTGCCAATAGATACTTCCCTCCCAAGGATAATTGGACCAAGTGTGCTCCAGCTGTTTCTAAACATCTCCTAGAGTGCACAGTCATAGCTGCTCAGGAAATAGATAACATATGCGTACATACTTCCTCTTGCCTTTCCTCATTGTGCCTGGATTCATATCTCAGCTCACCCACTTAACTTTGTGAACTTGAGGAAGTTAATTAATCCTTTCTTGCTCAGCCTCCTTATCTCCAAATCAGAGATAATGAAAGTACCTGTTTCACAGGGCTATTCTAAGAGTCCAGTGAAATCAGAGAAAATAATAGTATCTTACACAATATGAGTACCTGTGTATTCAGGTTCTAGTTCTAAGTTTAACAAGTTTTAGCTGTCACTTTTAAAAGATCTTTAAAGGCTTGGCACCTGTAGTTCAGTAGCTAGGGGTGCCAGCCACATACACTGGAGCTGGTGAGTTCAAACCCAGCCTGGGCCTGTCAAACAACAATGACTACTACAACCAAAAAATAGCCAGGCATTGTGATGGGCACCTGTAGTCCCAACTCCTTGGGAGGTTGAGGCAAGAGAATCACTTCAGCCCAAAAGTTTGAGGTTGCTGCGAGCTGTGATGCCACAGCACTCTACCAAGGGTGACATAGTGAGACTCTGTCTCAAAACAAAAAAAAGAAAAAAGATCTTTAAATAGTGTTTGATCTCATTTATAAACTTAAGTAAACATTTTCAAATATATTAATATTCACTACAAAGTTAATGTACTTCAATTGCCTGTCTGCCAGACCATCTCTCAAGTCTTTTTGTAACTTTTATAAATATAAATAATTAATCAAATAAATATTAAAAATCTTAAATTCTCTTATTCTTCAATATTTTATACCAATTTCAACAGGATTTCAACTTAAAATCACAAATTAATTTCTCAGTTATCTCTTTTAAATTAGAGCCAAAGACTGATCTCTAAGGGAGTTAAGAGGCCCAATTTATTTAAAATGCCAACATGGGCTCGGCGCCTATAGCTCAACCGGCTAAGGCGCCAGCCACGTACACCTAAGGTGGCGGTTCGAATCCCCAGCCTGGACCCACCAAACAACAATGACGGCTGCAACCAAAAAATAGCCAGGCGTTGTGGCGGGCACCTGTGGTCCCAGCTACTTGGGAGGCGGAGGCAGGAGACTCGCTTGAGCCCAGGAGTTGGAGGTTGCTGTGAGCTGTAATGCCACGGCACTCTACCCAGGGGGACAGCTTGAGGCTCTGTCTCAAAAAAATAAAATAAAATAAAATGCCAACATGCATAGATTCCTTAACACAAAAATATTTTTATTATGGTTTTGATCCTGTCAAATCTATTTATATCTAATTCTAAATCTTTCCAGAATTGAAAGATGCTTACTAGTGACCAAGTTTACCCTTTTGCATGATTTTTGAGTTTGCCTTCTCAGTTTGCTTGAGGTTGATAAAAACAAACAAATAAACAGATTTTAACCAAAATATGAATTAATTCTTGTCAATATTGACAGGGTCTTTTGGACCCTGTTTATTATTCTTGTTAAGGTAATAATAACTACATAATTCTATGAGGTGATTTGCACATCACCTACATTCCTGGATTCCAATTATAATTACTTAATACATTCTATGTATTCATAGATTGGAGTTTAAATTTCTTTGGCTATTAGGATAGATACATGTAAAAAAAAAAAAGTAAAAAGAAAAATACATGTAAGTTTTTTTTCCAGAAACCTCTAAAACCCTTGAAACCACTGGCATTCTGCACTTTCTGTTAGTCTTCTTATTCTTGGGACCATACAACTCGTATTAAAATGTCATCTGCTTGCATTCTAGCTTTGCTGAGTATTTGACATGTGTTATAGGTTATTCTACTAACGACTGAACTCTTGTCACTGATTTAATGAATATATACTAATTAGCTATCTGTTACATAAAAGGAAAATTGTACACATGAAGAAAGAAGAGTACTTTATTAGAAACCTCCAGCATGTCCCCAGAACATCAGGTTGAATTTCCTATAGACTGTGTACTTCTAAAGATTAGCATAACACCTAACACCCCAGCAAGAGATAATATGATTATAAGAAATGCTTTTATAAACATATCAAATATGCATGTCCCTTTGGTTGTAGAGTACAGGCTGTGATGCAGCAAGGCCCCCACAACCTGGGTAGACAGACATTCAAGGAACAACCCCCAGTTGCTTCTCCCCCTTGAACAATAACATTCTTTTTTCCTCTGCCAAAAGTCATGTTAGTCCCTGCATACTTTCCTTTTTATCTTTTGCCAGAAAGCATGTAGCTTTTCCTCCCTAAAGTTAATCTTTACTTCATGTACTAGATTCTCATCAATTTCTCTCTAGTAAGCAACTTTGTTTAAGTAAGTGACCTTGTTTAGATAGTATACAATAAAGCTGTTTTAACAGGTCAGTGTTAAGCTGCTCCAGTCCTTCTGATCCCATCTTTGTCTCTTGTGTGTTTTATTTCCTCATTCCCCACCATTCCCACTCTGATTCGTTCTCCTTCCTCATCCTGGTTTGTGAAATTTGGTCATTTGGGAGGTCTTAATTATCCTAGTCATGCTGCCTTTACTTAGTAAGAGACTTGTCTGTGGGACTTAACTCAAAATATCTCTCATATTCAACTTAATGTCCTCTGTGGTAGCAAATCTTTATCTCTATAGGTAAGTATTATTTTTGACAGCTTTTATTTTTTTAAAGCCACCTTAGATGAATTCTACTGAGAAACTCAATTTTAAAGTCAAAAAGTGTGATGACAAAGTAAGAAGCTGCCGTGCGTGTCCCAGGTGGTTTGTAAACTGTCTCCACAGCAGCACTGTTGTACTAAACACAGCAGCAGCTTTAAGATTCTCACTTACTTTGAAGGATAGCATTCATTTGGCTGTGTGAAACAAGGGGTTTTTGTTGAACAGTCAGTTCCTTCTAGTGAGTATAGCACCAGAGAGAGGGGCCTCAAAAGAAGAGTATTCCATGAACCGTGGCATGTGTAACATACCTCATTGCTCTCTCCATTTAATTTCAATTCTGCATTAAATCTCTTCTTTAGAGTTTATGCTATTCTGTGCTCTTGCCTCTTTTCTCTTTCAAAGATATCAATTCCGGCTTGGTGCCTGTGGCTCAAGTGGCTAAGGCGCCAGCCACATACACCTAAGGTGGTGGGTTTGAATCCAGCCCGGGCCCGCCAAACAACAATGATGGCT